GGTTGGCAACCGGTTGAATGAAAATAATTCAGTTCGGTTAACCGATTAAGGAAAATTTTCTCGGTTCAAATCACTAGATACGATGCACTCCCGTATAGAGGTACCCGGGTACTAAATTGAGCAATGAAAATACCCAAGGTATCGTATCCGACTTTTACGGTCTCATAATAAATCGAAGCATTCGAGTAGTTCTTATATTTTAAAATTCTCTAGGTAGATCAAAGTACTTAAAGTCGTCTTTCATGTTTTAAAATTCACTAGACAGATCGATAGATTGAAAATAGTTGCGCGTTGTAAATTTCTAATGGTTTTAAAATTCTTTAGATAATCGAAGCATGTACAGTAGATTTTCGCATTTTAAAATTCTTTAAATAGAAACAGCCCTTTATAAATGGATAAGTTGAAGCGCTTAGTTGTTTCTTTTGTATTTTAAAATTCTCTAAATGTTTTGTTTTGTAACAAAAACTCTTACTACTGCTTGTTCACATGACCAGATCGTTTATACATATCGATATTATGTTTTTTTTTTATCGTTATATATAGTTTTAATTAAATCTTTTTACCCGCTCCACGTTATGCCTGATCGTCTGATGGATAATACCGTTATTGGACGCTACGCACCAATAAATGTCTTATCTGAAACCGGTCGATGTCTGGGTCCTGCGGGGCATGACATCACCCGACCAAATTTGGCTCAGATACTTTCCATTATTTGTCATGTGTAACGATAATTATCAACGCCAAGTTATTGGTGCAAATGATTATTGTTGGGGCTGATGCTGAAATTGGCTGAAGATGAAAATTTGGGGTCTCAATTTAGATCCATAAAAGCTGACCCTTAACCCTAAAAAAAAGTCAAAAAATGTACACAATAAAATAGGTCAAATTTTCAGCTTCGGCCCAGTTCCCTTTTTATTCTGCGTAATTTTTTTTTACTTATTAACAAAAAATGAGCACATTTTTTTGATGAATCCTAATAAGTATACTAAAAACAATCAAATACCGCAAGCTATCGAGTGGCGAAATAAATAAAATTGTTAATAGTGCGGCTTCTACCAATACCCGAAAAGCAGTAACAAAAAAGTACATTTATGATATCAATAAACACGAAAATAATTTGCATGAACAAGTTCTACTCAAGACTATCGCATTTTAGATCATCAGATCCAGAACAATTGCATAATAATAATAATAGAACAGGGTGAAACCTGAGTCACCAGCTAGTAAAATTCGCTATGTAGAGTGAAATCTGAGTTTGAGTTAGGGTTAAGGGTGAAATTCGAGTTTTGCTATGTTTTTTATTATACAAAAGCAGATTTCAACCCTCATGCGATCTACATAGCAGATTTCACTCTACATAGCGAATTTTACTAGATAGTAACTCAGGTTTCACCCTGTCGTATAATAATAATAATAATATGATTAAAAATTATTATAATATTAATATTACACATACAAAATTACAAAAAACAAAAAACTTAATTCGTATACTCTAATTAAAACGAATAACAGGAAGTTTACGGAAGCAGAAGGTATAGTTTTTGTTTTTATTTCATTTGATACGGTTGCTAGAAAAAATCCACCAACTTAAGACAACAATTCTATTCTTTTTTTAAATTAAAAATGAAACGGGAGAAAATCAAAAAAAATTTGATTATAGTACATACGCCATCATCTATTTTTCATTGCGATTTTAATTGTTTATCACCTTTAGTTCACTATTGTTCATTAAACTCACTTTGACATTTCTTTTTTTGTCGTTTCGCAAAAATGAAATTGACATGCCACAGTTTAACCAATTCCGTCGATCCCAACTAGTGATGTAGTAGAAACTCAAGGCATCGGACATGCCGAATCGTAACTAAGTTATAATAACTTTTTATTTTAAGTTACGGCATTTCAAAACATTCGTATGTGCCGTATTGTTGTAATATGTCGCATATGCTATACTTTATTGTAAATTTTCTTTATGTTTTAGTCTTTACGTACATAAACATATACCTGATATGTAAAATATACATTAAATCATTTATTACTTTAATTATTCTGCCAATTCATTAAATATTCGAGCTACCAAACTCGCAGGATTATAATTATGATTTTCTGAATTCAACCGTTAGAAATGTTATTTGTCTTGCCTTGTTCTTCGATAAACAAATTATTGTTACCAATAAATGCCGGATTTGAAAGATCGATAATTTCTTCTATTAATAAATTATCACCATTTATTTCATCTAGTTGTATAGTACTAGATTCAGAAATTGGATTAAATGAATTAGCAAACTCCTTGTCAAATTGCTGTTTTGTATATTCTAATTGGCTGGTATTAACAATTGATCCATTCACACTATCTTTAAGTTACATTCTGATAATTCTTTATTATAAAAAGACAATTCTTCTTTAATTTTGTATAGTAAAAAGATCAAATTTTTGTGATTGTTTCTAACCAAAACATATTAAGTTTTATTTTTCTATTTCCAATAGCTATTTAAGCATTGCAAAATGTTTTTCATATACAGCTTGTAATGGTAGAATCAAAAATATTTTAATGGTAAGTTCTGATAATGGTTTCTTTTGAGTATCAACAGTAAGCCATCATTTTAACAGTGATTTTTTTTTAAATGGTTGAGTATATACATGTCACCGCAATTGGTTTTGAAAAAAAAGCCTATTTCGTCTCCATTAGAGCAAACTAAAATTTTTATCTGAAAGAGCAAATTTAATTTATATATTTATGTTTTTTATAATTTTGTCTATTTAAAAAAAGTATTAAAAAATTTCGTCTTTTAAGTAAAATAGAGCAAAAACAATTTCATTCTCAAATTTTAAATTTGGGTTTTAGACTCTAAAATAATTTCATTAGCATATATAGTTAAAAGATTTTTATCTTTTTGCGTGGGTGCGTTTTGCGCACCCCATAAGATCTGGTGTAATGTGAAATCAAAACAAACTATCAATGCATTAATTTTAGGGTAAGGGTTAGCACTAATTTAGAGTTAAGTTAGATTGCAGTTAAAACTAGTTATATCCAAAATTTTGCAAGGAATTTTTTTTGTTATAACGCAAAAGACAGTTTCATAAGCAAAATTATGAGTTACAAGCGATTTTTTCAAAACATCACTATTTTTTCGATTTCACGTTACACCTGATCTTACGATCTGATTGGTCGATCAGGTGGGTGCGTTACAATGCACATGCGCTAAATTATATAAACCATAGTTAAATATAAAGTATTTCTTTATATTTATAAGTACAAAAGTCTAATAATAAGTTTTCACATGATGTTTCATTATATTCTAAATTCTGTTATATATTGGTTGCAGTTTCACAAATTTATAAAATTTACTAGGCTTTAATTTTAGTCCCGGATATTACCAAATATGAAAATTGATCTACTATTAGTAAAAGACTATTCTAGAACCGATTTATATAATATTTTTGTTTTTTTAAAAAAAAAATCATTTAATAATAAACTTTCGAATTAATTTTAATATAAATTATCCTATGACTATATAGTCTAAAAATCCGCCATGATCCCAATAGCTTTAAAAGGTAGTTGTTTATCAAATAAGAAAACAAACAGTAATTGGTGTAAATTTAGCCTCAAGGATTTTCATAGACTTAAATAGAAGTTTCGAGAATTTTCTAATCGTACAAAAAAGGGGTGATCTGCAATATCCAAATTTGATAATATCCAAGACTGAATTTAATGCTTAAATAAAATATTAATCAATATATATAGTGCGTATAATGATAGTTAATAAATATTAATTTCTTAATATAGTAATATATTAAATTATTATCTCAAAATAGAATTATGTAAGTTGATATAATAGGTTCAAATTCTTTAAACTATAAATTATATATTTTTATTATTTTGGTTTAAATATATTAAAATAAGAAAGGCGATTAATTGCTGCAGCAATTTTGATCAATACAATGTAACAATCAATAATTATTGCATATCGACTTTTAACTAGTTGATCATATCCTTAACGGTTTTATAATTGTTGACAATTATTAAAAAAATCAGGGTTAAATTAAATTAAATATAGTTTTATTAGAAATCTCCATTACATAATTATTAATTAGACCTGTGTCATTCTGCTACAATTAATTTATTAACAATCTATTTTATCGATAATTAATTTATCGACAAGTTTATTTCACTGATAACTATTTTAATGACAGCCTATTTTACCAATAAGTTTTTTTAAAAAATTACACTAAATTTAACTCTAATTCTAATCTAATCCTAATGAAAATAACCAAAATTACTTTGTTAGTAAAATAAACTTGTTAGTAAATTGACTGTCAGTTAAATAGGCTGTTGACGAAGTAGTTGTTGACAAAATTAACACCACTCTTATTAATCATCTATATTTAATAAATATTAATATATAGTAATAAATAGAATATTTTAAACAATATAAATATTAAATATCAACTTGCACACCTAGTTAAAAATTCATTGTACATGAATTAAAGAATCAACTGTGTTTTACAATAAGTTTTAAGTTCTTTACTATTAATATTTATAACTTCAAATTTTTTTTAAAATTTATTTGCTAATGGCGATTAGTAAAAAAAATTTACAACACATCTACACTGCTTAATTAATTCTTTAATTTCTTCTGTTTTAAGCAATTAAATTTATTGTATGAGCTCCACAGTATATATTAAAAATAATGTTATATTGTTTATTTACTAATTTTCTTGTATGCCTTATATTTGAACTATGATTTGTTGTAACAGCCACGAACTTTTCAACTCCAACATCATTAAGAACATTTTTAATTTTTTTAGCAAGAAAATCACCTGTTTGTAAGATAATTGAATAATCTTTAATTTGAAATAAATGTTCTTTACAACTAGGGTTAGTAATAATATAGTTATAAAATAAGGATCCCATTGGTACAGTCTACTCATCAAGTGCTACAAAAATAAAATAATCTATAGTATTTATTATAATACTTTTATGACGTAAGCCATTTGCATAAAATTTATTTATGATTATAGTTTATAAAAGTTACTCTATGAAATAAAGTTACGTCATTATTTAAAGTTACATAACGCATTGGGACTCTTACAGTACATTGTACCTTATGACACATTGGAACCTTATGATACATTAGGACCTTATGACACATTGGAACCTTCTAACACATTGGGACCTTACGGCACATTGGAACTCGTACGGATTTTGCCGTAACCGTAACCACAATTTGTCATATCAAAAAAGTCATTGGGACGATTTTTCTGCATTACTAATCCCACCTTAAAGTCTTCACTCTTGATTAACTTCCATTGATTAACTTCCTTTTTCGGCTTATCACAATCAGGTGGTTTGTCTTTCACACAAAGGGCTTCTCATTTACGATTATTCTCTCAACTTCTTCACATAATTACAAGTCAGGGAAACCTAGGTGACGAATTCCTCAAAATTCTTGTTCCCGATTCCTCACGGGATCCAGGGACAGTTTTCTGTGTCATAACCTATGTCACGGCTGTCCTTAGTTATTAAAAAAAATTTTTTTTTCTTACGGCCTAATCATGAACTCGGTTAATAATTTCGCATGACTTCTGGAGGCTGCGGCTTACCTCTATCAATAGTTTATTTCGGTTATTTGGAAGAAACAAATATTTTTATTTATTACAAGTATTACCGCTGGCGCTTCTAAATAAGACTTGTATCTAATAATATAAAATTTTGATACTTCAATTAATCATAGTTGCGCACCATCTTGATCACCAGTAATATTGTATCAAGAAAGATGTTTAAATTATCAACTATTTTGTGGATTGCTATTGTAAATTGCTAAATTAAAATCATGAACCCACTCACTGCCGAAATCACAAACCAACCTACTATTAAATTCGTTACTTACTAATATAATCCATTTACTATTAAATTACTAATTTATTCACAGTCAAAGCACGAACTACTACTATTGTCATGATTTGCAAGATGATTGGTTATTTTCGAATTTTGCAAATTGTGGCTCTTGTGTGAAATTATTTGCTTTTTATCTGATTGTGCACTAAGAATCCAATATATAATATAAATATAGTATTTTCTCGTAAGTTTTGTTATACATCACACCACCAATCAGGCAATAATCGGCGTTAGGTGGTTGCGCAAACTACAAAATCACGAATTAGGATAGCTGCGCAACATGTGATGCTGTGCCAGTACGATCATATGCGACGCTAGTTTCAGTCATAACTAGTGATGCAATATTAGGGTAGTGACTACCCACGGCAAGGTCATATTGCCGTTGAGTAGATGTTGTGAATGATGTAGTGTGCCGTGAATGAGGTAGTGCCGTGAACGAAGTAGTAAGCCGTGAATCGCGTAGTATGCCGCAAGGATTTCATATAGACATGAACATGGACCGGACCGACGTCGTGTCCATGTCCAAAGATGGGCGACAAATGAATCAAAAACTTGGGAAATGAATCAAAAACTTGGGACTAGTAAGTACATATGTGCGTACGTATATGTATTGCTATTTTTTGTTATTCACATACGATACCGATATCAGAAGCTTATTTATCGTTCCTAATTTTTTAAAAGAATTTTTTTTTTAAATTTTATTAATTTATTTTTTTTTTGTCGTTTAATTGAGTTGTTGATTTTTCAGATTCAATTAGTAGTTTTTTTTTCTTTGGGGCGATTGATCTAGTTTACTAATTCTTTTTTCCAGCATTGGTAAAACTATTATGATCTAATGTTTTTTTTTGATCTATATTACTTTTTTTTCTATAGGTTACACTTGGAATTTGACGTGAATTGAGACTGAAAACTTGTTTTAAAGATAAGTACAAGCTTCTTCAAAGTTATACTTGTTTTTTTCTCAATTTGAACTATTCTTTGTTTTGTAGGTTGGTTTTTGCAAAAAAAGTATTGCTTTCAAGGTTAAAAAAAACTAGCACGGTGTCGGTATTGAGAAAAACAAAAGGACCCGATAAGGTTGGATTATATTAGCCAATCATCTGTACGTTTGGACATGTGAATATCCGTGTCCAAGACTGTTCATGCACGTCCCTAGCATACGGCACTTATACGACATATTTTACGACATACGGCACTTCTACTTATACGGTAAAGTGCCGTATTGCCGTGTAGTTGTGCCGAGGACAGCTACCTCTCAAGATTTTAAATCTAGTAATACAGATCTTATGGAGGCCTGAACATATAAAAAGCCCTAGTTGTCTATCTAAAAAGATGATAACCTATTGTTAATTTTTAACTATTGTTAATAATCAAGTTTCATACGATTAAATAAAAATGCTATAGTTTATTTTAAAAGTTATGATATAGCATTTTTATTTAATCGTATGAAACTTGATTATTAACAATAATTAAACATTAACAAGAGGTTCATTATATTACTCTACTACCCTAAATACGCAACATTTGTTTTAGATAAACAACTAGGGCTTTTTATATGTTCATGCCTCCATGAGATCTGATTTTTTAGGAGACTTTGGGCTATTACGTTGGCTTTATATATCTAGTATATATATCGCTAAGCAATTGTCATTTTACTTTTTTTTCATATATAAATTTATTTTTTTTCTTTGTGCAAAAATTTAAGATTTTTTCTCAAAGTTTTAAATACATTTTAATCGAAGAATCGAGTGCTCGAAGAATTGCAACCCGAAAATGTGTACCAGGTTGCGCTCCGGATGATCACGTGATACTCCGGAATGAATATCCTGAAAATTTTTGAAGTTTGATTTCATTATGTACTTCGCGCAAATATTACAACACATAATAATACGGTTAAAAACTTTT